AAGCCTCTGTAAATAGCATTTACAGAGCACTCTTGCATGGAAAGGAGAAAGAAAATCAAAAACTAAACCACAGTGCTGCTTCTGGCAGGCACCTGGTGGATGACCCGAGGGAATCCTGTGGTGACCCACCACCTCTTTTGTATCACCCACCGATATATGTGGAAGGAAATCCTCGAGGGCTAAAAAAGCATCCAGACTGTGCTCAGGTCTTTTGCCTCTGCTTGAGGCCAGTGTGGTTGTTTCCTTGTAACTCATCCCCAGTCCCAATGACCCTGGAAAAGAGCTTCCAGTGAATGGTTCACAACAGCATTCCTTCCTCCAGCCTAACAGGGGCAGGTCCATGGAGCAAAAACGTTTGTGCTGGGGAGCCGTCACACGTGCTGTACCCATCTCAGAGCTTTCTTTAGGCCAGCTCTAATCTGGCCCCACAGCCTGCGTGCCTGTTAGTGGCTGGCACATGCGAGGTGGGCTCCATTCCAGCCGCATGGACACACCTTGAGCCCTCCGAGAGTTCTCCAGGACGCAAACCTGAGGAAGGGCAGTAGGAACATTTGAGCAGAACAAGTTTGGGAGATTTGGTCCAGATTTGCGTTTCTGCTCCAACCCCGGTCCTGGACATGGCCACACCTGGAGTTTTAGTCATATGAACCTGGTGAGACTTCCAAAAACAGGCTGGACCAGCTGCCTCCAACACATCTCAGGTGTGTCCTATTGCTGAAGCTACCTTAATCTTGGGGTATGCAGAACCCTGAGCAGGTGCTTTGCTATCGGACAATCATTGACCTCTTTCAAGTGGCTATTTTATAGCCTTGCCCACATTATCCTTTTCACATTCTGTTCTACCAAAAGATTTTTCCAGTTTATCTGGTAAAATAATCATCTTCCCAAGTAAAAAAACTATCCAAAAATCCACTCTTAATTAGGAGCAAATTGTTAACTTAAGGTCCCTTCCAATCCTAACTATTCTATGATTCTAGAATACCAGTTTTCTGCACCTAGACCAAACACTTCATTTTCTCCTCAGTAAAGCTTTTAAATACAGCAGTTTCTGAGCCAATTACTCCATAGCTGCCGTTTGCAGGAGTATCTTTCACACAAACCTTTTCCTTTCACAAACCATGTTTATCACCCACACAGTGATAAACCCTGGTGCCTCGCACATGTCAGCTATCAGGAATTCATTATTTTGTCTGTGTTATGTTATACCAGTCCGGAGTTATCTTTGCAGCCCACAGGCCAGAATCAAAACCGAATGCGTCAGCTATTTAAAGAAAATAGAAGCCCTCCTCCAACAATTTAATTAACTTTCGGGGAGCATGGCTGGGTTTCAGTCCTGGGAATGTTACTGGGGAAAACACGATCCAAGATTATCAGTCAGAAAATACACTTTTCCATAGCTAACCTGATTTTAATAGATGTTTTTCTAACACTAGAAGGTCAGCATTTGGGCATCTCAGTTATAAACTCTCATCAAGCCATGAAGAAAAATAGTACTATATACTATTGTACAGCATTTTGAGGGCAGTTACTTAGCCTGTAAACTCAATACAGCTAAATCATTCATTTCCCAAAAAGACAACACTTTACATGTTGCATATTTACTCAAGGAATAATTACCAGACTGATCTGTTCTTTTGCCTGCCAAGACATTAGGTTTCTTTAAAATTCAAATCAAATACCTAAGATAAGTAGAATATGGATTTTTTTCCCCCAAATCTTCCTCATGCCAAAAGCTGCAACTTCTCTTCTGTAAAACACTTAAACAGAGGTATGAAACTCCAAGATTTTGTGAAACCAGGCTTGGAGCTTTTTCCATTTCATTTGCAAACATGAAAGTGGGGGAGTGCAATTAACTAATTCAGAGTTTCAAAACTCCTATTAATGACTAATACTTTGCTTGCGGTTCTTATTACAGGAGCTAGAAAAAAACTGATGGGAATTCAGTTTAAACAGAGCAGCTGTCAACTGGAAGCCCTGAATGAGTCACAAAAAGAAAACATGAGCAAAGCCTTACATCCCTTCTCTCGAGGAAAATGTGCCCAGCCATTGCATGGGAAGGCAGAGGGCCAGGGATCTGCAGCATCCCAAACCTGCTGGGACATCAGAGCTGCAAGACTCAGGAGGAACAGCCCCGACACTGTCCCATGTAAGGGGGGGAATGGCTCATGGAGCACCCCTGCAACACACTTTTCATCACACACAGGGGGGCAACTACTTTGGCTGGGATCATCAGTTCGAACAGGAAAAGGAACTGGGTGTGCAGTGAGCTACGCTGATTGTGGTCCACTGCCACCTTTGTTAATCATTCCTTCTGCAGCCCACAGTCATTTTAGGCTGCCTTTGGGAAACCAGAGCTGTCCAAAAGAGGCTCACATGCAATGGACACGCTGCCAGCGCAACTCTGAAGCATGTACTTAAGCCTTATCTAGATGTCTTAAAAGCCAGGTTCCTCTTAAAGTAGGACTTGGGTGGTTTATCTTACATAAAGCCACTCTCCAAACGAGAAGGCGCATACCCTTGTCCTAACAGCCCAGCTCAGGGCGCTGGGGTCCTATTGCAAACCACCTGCAATGGCCAAACCACAAAGACCCTGATATTTTCATGCTGTCAGTGCTACCAGACTGCACAGCCCCTCCAGAGCGACCTTTGTGGTGTAGAAATCACAAGTTTTTACTTTCTCTGAGCGCCACAATGTCAGGTTTGCTCCCTGAAAATAAACAGGTTTCAAAAGAATGCTGCATGGGTATGGGAGGGTGGCTCTCAGGAGATTGCTGCTCTGCCATGAAGATGTTATCTGAGTTTGAGCAGTGGATTAGGAAAGGGGTTACTGCAGAGCTGCAGGAGTTAGAAGCGTTTGGACTTTGGTACGGATCTGCCTGCTCCCTGCTAAAGTTAGGGGAATCCACGCAGTGATCCCACTGCGTGATGTGTCCCCATGGAAAAGCTCCCTACGGCATGTATGAGAAATCAGCCAGAGATCACCAGTTGTGCCTGGACTGGCCCATTTTTCACTTCCAGAAAGCTAATCTCTAGGACTTCAGGCAATTCCTGTATTTACCCATGCGCATTCAGCACTAATTCAATATAAAGGAATATTAACTGGTGAGTTCTCACGTACGCAGGAATGGTGCAAGCGCCACATTCCAGAACATGATTCAAAGTAGAACAGCCAAATGACAGCGAACAAAGCACTGCAAATGGAGGCAACGTACTGCACAAGCAGCACCGCTGCAAGGATGTATTCCTGGTATCGCAGCAAGTTTGGCAGGGGAGGCCAGTCCTGCAGTATCTTTGTGAAGATATGCTGGTAATTAAGCTAGTGCTTTATCAGCAGTGGCCCAAAGGACCACTTGTGATATGTAAAATGAAATTCCTTCGCTTTTGGTGTACTCGCTGGGCCTGAGACAGCTGGCCCGGCTCATTTGCTGTAGAGCAGAACATATGTTCTGTTTAACAGAGGAAACAATTGCTGCAGCTATTTTCATGCAACTGTTAGAGGAAGAGCTGCACTTGGAAACCACTCATACTAGAATGTTCTTCCCTCCAATTCTCTACAAATACTTTTAACCATGGGCAATCCACTCCTTGCAATGTTTCTGTGGAGGTGTGGAAGATAACCACAGACTCAGTTCTTGGCCATGAGAAGCAATGCTTACAAACCTACTTATGGCAAATAAGGAGTCAACGTTAAGTTTAAACCACACAAGGAAGGTTTTCACCACAAAGGTAGTTTTTAACCTTAACCCCTTTCCTTGATGATTGAGAGCACATGCCACCAGCAACTACAGCTTAAGTTAACTCCTGTCAAGTGAACAGTGGTTCTCTAGTTAACTGTACCTAAACTGAGTTAAGCTTAGGGTGTCCCTGTGAGATCAGGCAAGGTAAGTTATCTTCCTCGAGGAAAGAAAATGCAACACACTGTGGCTATAAGCAATATACTATGGGTCACAGAACAGGTATACAACATGAATAGGAACAGAAATTGTACAGCCAGCCCATCCAGTTGATCTCAGTCACAAGGACATCGTTTCCTCTCTGCAGGCACGACAGCACACCAACAAAAAGGAAAAGGAAGTTGTGATGGACTTCGCAGACCATGTCCTTCCGTGAAGAAGGTGCTGGTGTTTGGAGAAGAAGGGGTCTTGGTCAGCAGCACTTAACAACTGCACGCTGAAGGAAGCAGTGCATGCCACTTTGGCAGTCAGACGTGACTTGCCCCCTGCATTTGTGCACACAGTTCCTCACTGACTGTTTTCAAAGCCTGTCTCGTAAAAGCTGTTGTAGCTAAAGCGTAAAACACTCCTCTCTTCCCGTATGGAAACTCAGCAAGTAGTAAAACATTAACACGACCAAAACCAACCTTCTGAATTTCTATTTGCTTAGTGAGCTGTTTCTAATCGAAGGTCTTTTGCCCTGGCTCTAACAGGTCCGAGTGTGACCCCACGTCCTCCGCATGGCCAGTTACTGTAACCAGTGCATGGTAAGAAGTGATCTCCAAGGGCAAGCCTGGTCTGATGATGCAGCTTTAGACAGCTAAAGCCCAGCACCCGTGTCACACACCAGCTACAACACAACTGTTGGTCCAAGTGCGGGAGGGAAGGGAGAGGCTCTGCGGGGCAGCTGCACAAGAAAGCGGCTCATTGATCTCCAGCACGGGCAGCTGACGGGCTCGATGTCTCTGCACGTGCCGCTACTGAACGGGCAGGGTCACACACATGGACCCAAGCCACGGCACAAGGGAAACATGGGAGCTTTCTCCCCATCCCGTGTTCAGGAAGCGGAGCAAAGCGGGATGGCCTGAAAAGCTGTTTTGACTCAGAGCCTGCTCACAAAAGGCATTACTCACCCAGATTTTATCCAGCCCAGCAGTGCATTTCACTTTCTTCATCCACTGCTCACAGCTGGACTTTACCCCTAGTTTTGATTGTTTGCAATACAATGCCAACACAGAAAAACACATCCATCAAGCACACTGGTATTAGAAAGGAAAATGTTATTACCTGGAATAGTCTCCTTTAGCTTCCTACAATTGAAAAACAGTGACAGAGTTAAAACAGGAGCTCTTCAAAAGTCCTCGATTTTCCCAGCATTGTTCACTTCCCCACTCCCACAGCTCCAGAGCCAGATCCTGACCCCAGTTACATGCAATGCAAATCATGGCGCCTGCCTGCATGCATTCAGGAACAGAACTTGGCCCTTTATGCTTCCAGCTGTAGATAATCCACCTACACCATAAATAAAACCATTTCCAAAAGGGGGATGACTTTCACACTGCAAATCAAATCTTGTTTTTACTGCACAAGAAGTGAAATACAATTCTCTCTCTGGCCGACCGCATCCAGCTGAAAGTTGGCTTTACAGGCAGGTCAGCAGTTGAGAGGAATTGTGTTCACTTGAGATGGAAACAACAGTGCAGGCAGATGGAGCCGCTGCAGCTTTGCTGTGACACTCTGTCACTGAGAATGCAATGGGAAAAAAATCCTCAACATTTTAAAGGTAGAGTTTTATTTCATAGAAAATGGTAAATAACCAGAGTGTAAGTCTAAATACAAGAAAATTTTATTAAGGAGAACAAAACCTGACATTGCATATTTCAACATTAACAGAGGTATCAAAACCATATGCTCTAGAAATATTCACAAGCATAATCAGCAAATTTAGCTACTCCTCCTCCCAGATCTGCAGAGCATAAATTAGAGTAAGTCATAAATTGGATGTAAACCTGCCCAAATACACAGCTTCCCTTAGTGAGTTGTTCCTCTTTCCTCTCTCAGTTTCAAAGCCCTCAAATAAATATTTCTCTCACTTGTCCGTGAGAAAAACACTTCCCAAGTTTTCTATCTTTCCTTCCCCTTTTCCCACCCCTCTCTCCAGCTGCAGACTCTAAAAAACGCTGCATGTGCTTGTCTTTATATTGAGAGAGGACAAAAAGAGAAGCAGAACAACACATCCGAGCTAAACCAAGCCCAAGCCACAGGTGCCCGGCGGTGAACCGCATGGGAAGAGGCGCTTACCTGCAACACCAGCGCTGCCAACTTGAAGACGGTCTCGCTTTCCACTTCAATCTGCCCCTGTGCAGGGAGAGAGCAGGACATGAGCGCAGCGCGCCCCGCCTCGCCACACACCCGCTCCGCCCCGCTGCGGGGAGGGACCGGAGCGCTGCCCGGGGATAGCGAGTTCCAAGGGGCCGGGGACCTTCCTGTGCCCCCAGGGCTGCGCTCCCCTAGTGCGAGCACGTCCTCCCCCCGCAAAGCCTCGCCCCTTCCTCCCCCTCTGCACAGATCCTTTACTGCGCTTCACCAGACACTGCTTTGCGTTATTGCATCTGACCGGGACTTTTGACAAGGGCATGTAGGGGCAGGATGAGGGGAAACGGGTCTGAACTGACAGAGGAGAGATTTAGATTAGACATGAGGCAGAAGCTCTTCCCTGTGAGGGTGCTGAGGTGCTGGCACAGGGTGCCCAGAGAAGCTGTGACTGCCCCATCCCTGGCAGTGTTCAAGGCCAGGTTGGATGGGACTTGGAGCAACCTGCTCTAGTGGAAGGGGTCCCTACCACCTGTGGCAGGAGGTTGGGACTGAATGAGCTTTAAGGTCCCTCCCAACCCAAACCAGTCGATGATTCTATGAGTGTGCACACCTCGTTAGGGACCAAATCGTGCATGCTGCAAAAACACATGAAAAACTTGCCACAAAACAGGGTTGAACGATTGTCATGACTTGAACCATACCGGCTCTTGAGGAAAGGGAGCACAGTTCCATGATGCTAGATCAATAACACTTATCAATCACAAGGATAGCATAACTAAGCTTCCTTTGGCCCATGGCGCCTGGATCTTACAACCTCCAGTTCTGGCAAGTACACTGCAGTGTTCAGAAAACCTTATAGACCCCCATGCTGGAAACTTCCTCTGTGTTGACCCTACTCCCAAGCCAGACCCATGCTGGCAGCACTATGCTTTTGCTGACTTAAGCAGTGTGCAGCTGATAAATGCCAAAACATCAAAACTACACAAGAATCCTTTTTTTCCTGCTTACAAGGTTAAGTGCAGTCTTTCGAAGTTAGCTTCTTGTAAGCAAAAGCCCTGGTCTTGGTTTTATACTGGCACCAGCAGTAACACTGGAAAAGTAAATAAGATGCCCTTACAGTTGGGTTATCAAAGCTACTGCATCCTGCAGACTGTGTACGAAAGACAAAACTGAGACCATGAACAAGTCCATAAATAGAGATTTATTGTTTCTTATTGACCTTCTGCAAGTGAAGATAGTAGACACGAGATGCTTGCCTTGTGCGACCAAGAGCCCAACACATCCTCTGTCCCCAGTTGGTTGAATGAGGGGACAAAGCAGACTGAAAGCTGAAACATTGCCAAACCCAGGGCAGCAGGAAGATCTACAGAATTACATACAGACACAGGGAAATGACATCTCAAAATACATAAGGCACATCTGGAGCTGAGCTGATTTGCCACAGCTGCAGGTCTGGCACACAGAGACTAAATCCAAAAGTGAAAAACAAATAATTCAATTTCCATAGAAAGAGAGAGGGTTTTTGCCAGCTTTGTCAATAGAGCATTCTGGCAGCAGCACTCCCCCAAGCTGCGCCACAACAGCAGACCAAGAGGAATTTCCCTTTCCCAACAGGTGTGGCAACAGTTATGCAGAAGTAGCCTCCAAAGCATTCCCAGACATATTTTATTAGAAGAGGAGGAGCACATCACAAGTCAGGAGGAAAAGAAAAAGCTTCAAGTTCATCCTTCCTTCCGATCTCTTTCATGTTGATGCTTAAGAAAAAAGGCAAAGATTATAGCCCAGAAACTCTTCACATAGGTGCAATTTTAAGGCACTTTGTTACTTCCAGGTCTGTATCAGGTTAGTCTTTGTCATGCACATCTGAGCTGCCTTTCTTTAAGCTTAAATTGCATCTGCTCAAACAGCCTCTGAGGCCAACTGTGGCAGTGGCAGGATTACAGAGATGTCATCTCAGCACTGCGCTCTCCTGCTCAATAGCTCAGCAAAGCTGTCCCTGGACCACAATATTGGGCAAAACAGGGTCAAAAGGGACCTTAAACTCATCACTGGGGCCCCTGCCCCAATTCCAAAGTTGGAATCAGCTGCATGTGGCTCATCACCTTTTAAGCATGCAAGAAACTCATCAAGATTTAACTTCCTCTGTTGCTGGCTCTAATAAAAACTCAGCAGCACTCTGTGAGCTACTGCATCAGTCAGTCCCTGCTGACCCATAGCAATGCTGCTGCTGGCATTACAGGGGTGTTTGGGACTTACTAACCAAGCACCTCTTCACTTTTCATCTTCAAAGAACCTCACAGCCATTAACTAATTAGCAATAGCAATTATGAGGCTGCTCTTATGTGTATTTACTTGGTCCTAAATACGAGCATTAAGGAACTCTGGCCACTTTACTAGTCTGCTATTGCATGGCCACAAATGTTAAAAGTGATCCCACAAACCACTTCATTTAGGGTTTTAGGAGACTGAACAGGCTGAAAGGCACTGCCTTCTGCAGGTGATGAAAGTCTCAGCCTTTGCTTTCATAGCGAGGGTTTTGCTGTGCTGATGTCTTCAGTTTTGAATGCATTTGGTTAGAAGCTGCATTGAGGAGTGAACAGGCAAGACTGACCTCTCTCAAACAAGATGCTGAAGGCATCTTGACCAGAGCAAAGGGGACAAACAGGACACTCCAGGTTGAAGGCTGCCACCATGGCTCTCCAGCTACTGCAAACCTCAGAACGGGGTGGACCAGCCCTAATTATCATCACATATAGCCATACCAGAGCAGTGGCAGGAGACTAGGGCCAATCTAAGGGAGGCTCTGCACCAAAAACCCTCCAAAGAGCAATCAGGAGAACCCCTACCCTTTCAAGGGACTAAAAATCAAAGAAAAGGGTACAGGAAGGCAAAGGGACTGCCCTATGGTCATACAGTAGCTAAGCAGCAGCACAAGGATTTGAAGCAAGGGATCCCAAAGCCCAGCTCAGCCTTTATCTAACAGACTAATGCTATACAAGTGACAGCCTCTTGGACAATTCCCTGAGCCTAGAATTATTTACCATCATAATATAAAATCACTTGCCATCTGGTCCCCCAATTGCTATAATGTAATCCATCCCTGCCCTGGCCTGTCAGGGAGTTTGGACAGCCCTTAGCTTGACACGAATCCATATAGCGACACATGTCACTCAGGAGCACAAAACTGCAACTCTTCCCACTCACTCAGGCAGTGTTTTGATTTTATAAGCATCTTTCAGCCCTGAGGCTGTTGGATGAGGGGGGAGGGTGTGTGTGTTCTGCTTTAGCATCGCTTTAACAAGGTCAGATTTCAAAAATAGATGGGCAAAAGGGCTGTTAAAAGATTCATTTGAAATGCCTGCAATTGGCAGGGTAATTTAAGCAGAGACTTCATTGAGGGTGGGAGCCCTGGGAGCCAGGGCAGCAAGTGCTCTCACACGGCTGTGTTGAAGATGAAGATGGAAGGCTTTCCTAGATTTATCCCAAGTGGAAACAAGGTCACCAGCATGAGGTTAAGTAGATGGATGTCATTCTGATAATGGAATCGGAGACTTCTACATTTGAGATGTAAATAAGTTTAAACAGACCAGTGGGTGCAGCTCCAGGGAGAGGATAAGACTGATATTGCTCAATTAGAGTTTGTACAGGGGCCAATCATTTTAACCAGCGAGACAGATCCAGCCCGTCATGTAGCTCTCCTAAAGGCCACTGGCTTATCTGAACACTGCATTTGGTCCAGTGCATTCAGGTGGTGGCTTTTGTCATCCTGACAAACATCATAGTAATAAAAGGTTGTAGCAGATGTCCAAACCAGGTGGCAATTACTGTAGAGCAGGAATAGTAAAGATCAACCCCTACCTTCAGTGCCTATGGGCAGAATTTAGTCCCCGATTCAGATAGGAGTCAGACACAGACTTATGAATGCGATAAAAATCACAAGCTTGGTCATGAATAGAGCAGTGAACCCTCATTAGATGCAGCAACAGCACTAGAATTTACTGTCATAAAGATACAAGTCTGAAATCCTAGGAAGGCACAGATCAAGAATAATGATAACGAGCATTGACTGTGCTAAGCAAATCTTTGGACTGTAAACTCACATTAAAGCAGATTAAAATACAAGCAACACATAGAAATTGTCATCTTTAACTCTTTAGAGACAGAGCAAGACATGAAAACATAAATGGTTTGTACAAACCATGTGTAACCTCCAGAGGTTAGAGTCTGACAACATAAATGTTTCACCTGAAGATTTGAGACTTGCGATGCTACACACCTCTTCCCTCCAACCCTTTAAAAATGTATATTAACCAAAGACACCCCCAAACACATGCGCACACACGATGATTGAATAGCCTCAAGACAGCCACAATCCTGAGTATAATTATGCACTGAAAGGTGATTAAAAAGATGAGAGAAAGAAGGGTGCAATTAGGCAGAGGGAAAGAAAGGACCCAATGTCTACAAGGTGATCAAACCGAGGGAGGCAATTAGTTGGGTGTGGACCCAGCACAAGTGAACAAAATGATGCCAGCCCCTGCGCCCTTACCTAGCACCACTCTGCCTTCCCCCATGGGACCCAGCATCCCCGTGTTGCATCCTGACAGCCAGAGGATGTGAAGGCAGGTCCCCGCAGTGCAGAAAGCTCCACAGCTTTCCAGCATCTAAGGGCTCTCTGGGAGCAGAGGCTGTAGCGAGGCGGCCTGAGCTCCTGGGGCAGGGAGTGGTTGTCAGCCACAACCTGTTACACGGTGCAGGCTGAGCAGCGCAGAGGAACTAGGTCAGGCAAATGTGGCATCTCGCTCTGTCAGTGTGGCTGCGCTGGGTAATTACATCAAGGAGCAAGTAATGGCAGCAAACAACCCTCCAACTTGGAAGTGCCAGTCCTGATTACTGGCATTCACACCTACATTGCAATCCTGGTGGTGTCACCTGCTGTTTGCAGTGGGCACGCCATCCCATTCCCTTCCTCAGTGGAAGCTCCAGACTTTGCTGAGCATCTCAACTAGGACCAGTTTCCCAAGGACAGAAACACTGGGTTG